GGAAAAAAATATAATATATATATATTAGATGCAGTTAGGTATACACATGCTATAGTTAGAGCGGGAACTTAGGAAGATTCTTGTGTTTTATTTTCTTATGAAGTGGGAAGCAGGATCATTAGCCCAGGGTGAGGATGGAGATTTTGGCGGTTTGAAAAGCGAGGAGAAGGAATAATGTGGTTACTTAGGAGGGAGGAAGAATGATGAAAAAGAGAAATAATGGTATGGTTGTTGAGGAGTGTTAGAAACCCATTTGAGGTTAAAGAGATAAATCAGGATGATGCTATTCATTTCTCTAGCCCTGTTCAGGACATTAGGCACTTCTCCCTTCCCTTGTATTTTTGAAAGGGGAAATTTTCAGTGACTTTCAACAATTATTTTCCTTTTAAAACAGCTTGGTTTTGGTATAGTTTAAAAAGAGCAAGGTGCCTTACGTATGTGATAATGCTAGTATTTTTTGTTTTGCTTGATTATAAAATCAAGTTTTGTTAGCATGATATTATCCATGTATTTGTAGACATTTGTAACTAGAATGTGTTTGATGAGGTCATCAGGGTTTCTTGCAGTTGGATACAGGCGGTTCTGATTATTTAAATGATCTTTCCTCTAAACTTTGCATGTTATAGGCTAAATAAAAATACATCAGGTGACTGTAGAGTTTCTATTATATCCAGCTTCACGAGATGAACTTTTTTCTAATTTTAATTTGGTGTCTGGTGAAATGACACTAGTTTCATAGATTTTTATGTTTTTCTGTTGTAGGAAACCCAGCGTTTGCTGGCTGAACCAGTTCCCGGCATTAAAGCAGAACCAGATGAAAGCAACGCCCGTTATTTTCATGTGGTCATTGCTGGCCCCCAGGATTCCCCCTTTGAGGGAGGGACTTTTAAACTTGAACTATTCCTTCCAGAAGAATACCCAATGGCAGCTCCTAAAGTACGTTTCATGACCAAAATTTATCACCCTAATGTAGACAAGTTGGGAAGAATATGTTTAGATATTTTGAAAGGTAAGTGTTATCTTTGTCATTATGTTATTAATATTTCTTTTCTCTTAAGCATTCCTTATTTAAAATGTCAGCATTGGGATCTTTCCTTATATAAAGACTAGAGGTCTGTGGGAGGGAAGTGCAGCACTCCTGGGGCTGTTTTTCATGCTTTATCCACTGGGCCTATTGCCTTCATAGATAAGTGGTCCCCAGCACTGCAGATTCGCACAGTTCTGCTATCAATCCAGGCTTTGTTAAGTGCTCCCAATCCAGATGATCCATTAGCAAATGATGTAGCGGAGCAGTGGAAGACCAA